GTAATTTGCGTGTTGGATCAATTTTAAATTTGGTAATAAAAATCCAAATATATTTTGAACGGATTGACTATTTGTGTTGGGTACCCATTACTCAACTTTCAATTTCATTTTATAGAGATGTAAAACTTGTTCTTATATTATTGTCTTCTCTAGTTTGTGCAAATTATAAATATTACTACCCAGATTTCTGGTTAGCATCAAATTTGACTCTCAAGCGAATTAAAGTTTTTCTTGAATAAGAGAAGAATAATTTAAGTCTTGGCATTCTTCGTTAAACTTTACTATAATTATATCATGTTACACTATGAATTAGATGACACACATAATAAGGATCATAGGAATGGCCAACTAATCATGAATGATATATGGCGTAATATGGAGTATAACACAAAAATGTTGAATGGAGGATCAAATGCCAAATTCTACTCATGATATATTCAAAATAAATTTCAGATGCAAATTCAGAAGTTATCTTTTAGGACGCAACATGATTCATTTTGTGTTTATTTCTAATTTCTCCATTTTACAACGGCTCCGATGTGTTATCATGCATGATTCTTTTGTGTTTATTTTTTGGATCAAAATTTCAGTTTATAACTTTCTTTAAAGTGTGATTGGATCTAAGTTTAACACAGTTAGTATGTGTGTGTATTTGTGAAAGTATATTAGTGTTTATTTTAGTGTGTTTTGTATGTGTAAAAATAACGTATTTCAAAAGAACTTAAAAAGTGAGTGTGTGTTTGTATCTGCGAGTGTATTACTGTATGAAAATATATCTATCTATGTGAAAATGTATTTATGTGTGTGATTTTTTTTTTTATATGTGAAAATATATTTGAGAGAATTTATGTACCAAAATCTATTATTTAATATATTTGAGTCATGGGTTTGAGATAATCCAATATGACCCAACCCAAAATTAACCCAACATAATATTGGACGGATTTGATGTAATCCATTTAAATGAAAACCCAATATCAACCGCCCAAAATCTAATTGCCAGGTATACATATGATTATGACCACTAGTAGTGATTAAATTAAGGTTTATTTGATAATTCAATACGATACTTAAATTTATTGAGTTTAGATTTTAACGTGTTAAAATTCTTTTATAATCAAAGTAAAATATATGAATTAATTAAATGACACTACTGAATTTATCACGCAAACTTAAACTTATAGCACTGTTTCCTCAAAGAATTAATAACATCTAGACTTGTAACCCCTATTGTCCAATTTCAAGTGATGTTAACATCTAAGGAAATCCACATGAAATCCGTAAAATCTTTGTTGGTCCTTCACTGTCACTTTCACTTTCAAGAGCATGGGAAGTCAAATTTTTGGGAGTTTTTTGCACTTTGAAGGGGAGAGTCCGGGACAACTAAAACTATAGGAGAGAGTTTAGTATTTGATTTGAAGGGACAAGATGGGACATGGGATGAGAACAATTGGCTACTGAGTGAGTTGAGAGGATTGAAAATTTGCCTTTTCTAGGGCAAAGTGCTAGTGGCGATGGAGTGGACACGAACAAGCGGCAAAGAAGTTTATTCTTAATTTTGTAATGTGCTATGGGTAATGCAGTAGAAAAAAGCGGACTAATTGCTCAGATTCTGTCGAAAAAAATTCGGAACAAATCATTGTTCTGACAATCCAGCATTACAAAATTATGTCTACTGGGCTGACTAAGCCGTAAGCAGGAGATTTTTTTTCTTTTAACTTTGGCTGCTACTGGAAATTTTGGACAAAGCTGACATCTGCAGCTTAACTTAAAAAAAAAAACTTGCAGTAGGCCCGGCAGCCAACTTAAATTTTTTTTATTTAATTAAAACTTTTGCTGGCCGTAGTTGGGTTCACTTGCTCCTTTCTTTTCTTTTATTTTCTTTTAAGAATTCATGCACAATAAGTGCACGCTCAAATTATAGATTAGACACAAAATTTATCAGCAATTTATTTTATCCAAACACATATTGAAATCCTTGAATTAGATCGTTCAAGCCAATTAAGAGTGTGGCTAATAGATCATCTTGGCACAAAAGGTAGACTCTATTACTTTTACTACCAAAAAATATGACAAATAAATAATTTGATAATTTCACAACAAAGATACATCAAAAAGTTGATCCTCATACGACAATAACAAAGCAAAACTTGCATTAGTTCATTTAGGCGCACTGCCCTTGAAATTGAGACTGGTGAAATTAGTGAAGTACAAATATATTTCGCCATTTCACGTTATCAAAATTTTCTTCTTTCTATTTGTTGCCTTTTCATTTTTATATTGCACCAATAAGTTTATATTTATTAAATTATAGTTTACATTAAAAATTACTTTTATACTTAACTACCCACTATCATATTTATTTTACCTTTATTCTCATACACAATCCACTGCAAATAATAATTATTTGTATATTTATTTAGGTAATATCAAATTTCTATATATTTTTAAAAAAATATAAAATCAAATTTTATACATAATAATTTCAACGATTATTTTTCAAAGATTTGGGAAATGCATCTTCTTGTAAATTGAATGAGATTTTTTTATCTAAAACTTTTTTTTAGAGTTTAACGTAAAATAAAAATAATTGATTTAGCAAATTTATCTGAACCTTTTTCTTAAATTTCAACTTTAAAAAAATTTGAACCAAAATAACTACCGGGCGTAATCAGCCGGCAGCATAAGTTTTTAGAATATAATGCCCTGGTTCACCAATATGCTAATTTATTATTCATAATTTCTTGATGATTTCATTGCTCCTTACATCCATAGCAAACGTGTTACTTTAGTGATTGGAGACAGCCTGCAACTTTCTAGGCAAATTTCCACTGGTGCCGGGCTATATATTTTTTTAATAGTTAAGCTGGACAGCCCGCAACATTTTATTTTTCTAAATTTCCAATAGCTGCCGGGCAAGTCAGCCCGCCAGCCAAACTTAAAAAAAAAAAAAAAAAAAATTTCTTTTGCCTACCATGCTAACTCAACCGTCGGATAGGTATAGTTTTATACCACTGTATTGTCGGAACAACATTGTTCCGGCTTTTTTTTTGTTTTGGGCAATAATCAGAGCAATTAGCCAAAAAGCGAGGGCAAAAAAACATGGATTTGGGGCAGGGACGGTCATCAGTATGACCGTCCCTGCACGGTTAAGGGTCAAGATTTGCCCTCAAAATTTTATGCGGCTGAGATTACACCATATAACTCGATTTTCGCGTCAAGTGTGGGCCCCACCACTATCTTTTGTGAAAATATATCTTGTGAAAAAAAGTTACACGATGTACAAAGAAAATTACGCGCAGTTGATAATGATCAAAATTGCCCGGGACGGTTGCACCGTCCGTGCCCCTAGTCCAAAAAACATAGTCATGTAATAACACGTTAAAGCGAAGTACTTGGAGCTATTATTAGAGTCTATATAGCACTTGTAACTTACAAGTTGTAAGTAAGGAGAAAGCTTTTAGAGTTTTCCCGCTATTACTATTTTTTATTTTTATTTTTGTGTCATTACTTGTTGATCAATAACTCAATTCAAATCGTGTGCATCACTACCATAGCTAATTGATGATTAATAGCGCGCGCCGCCGTTACTTGTCGATCAATTATGGATGAGCAGTCCACTTAAGTGGTTATTTCCTATTTAAGGTTAAGAAACAAATACACAGTTATCAGAACCCAACGAAATTGGTCCTCTAATTGTAAATATGCAAAATTAGGAGGGTAAAATGGGAATTCCAATCCATCCTCATCCTTTTTATTCGTTTTTTTTTTTTTTTTTGTTTCTCATCTGGGCGCCTACTTGTTAAAATTGCACAGAAATCTATTAATTTCATTATGAAATTAACAACGTGATTGAGTATCCATTCATCCCCTCAAAGATATATTGATTCATTCATCTCCTTTAGATTAGATTAATTGGTATACTAGTGATATCTCCCAGTGATACGAACACATATTAAGAGTTGTAACAAATTAGAAGTGAAATGTTTTGCTTTTGAATTTTCTTGGCCGGTTTACTTTTTTATGTTCTAGTTTATTAGAAAATTAATAAAATTGACCAAGTTTATGAGATGCACTATCAATTCACAAGAAATATCATCAAATTTACAATAATATTTTTTGTACCTTAATTTATTTGTTGTGTATCATACATTGTTATTTTTATGTTAAACAAATTATTCATAACCATGTAATTAAGTTGGCTACTTGATTAGATGTGCTCTCAATTGAACTTCCAATCGAAGGATATCTATTTTCGAGAAAAGAAAAGAAAAGAAAAGAAAAGAACGTGGAACTAAAAGAAAGAAATTAATTTATGTTCTTTTCAAGTCTTTTAAGAAGAACCTTAGTGAATGAAAACAACATTATCCTAAGAAAAAATAAAAAATTGACATTATCAATTACTTTATAACGTATGCCCCAGTGAACATATTAGTTACTAGTTAACCTATACATTGCAATTTTGACACATCATACAGTTACGAAATTATATGGAGAATCAACTTTTGAAAATGAAATTAACAAACTAACATAAATAATTATTTTATAAAGAATAAGAGAACGACATAGAGTGATTTATTTACAATATATAGATATATAGATATATATATATATATATATATATTCTAAGCAATACTAACAAATAGAATATGAGAGAAACTAGTAGTAATATAACAAATTGGGAAAAAAAAAGAAAACTATGTTGTCCATGCACTAATTACTATACTGCATGTAAGACTTTTTTCATATTTTCAACCCAAAATTTTAACCAATAATGCTCGATCATTACTCTTGGGGACAAAGCGATATGCAATTAATTTCAGTAACTACCAAATAACTATTTATCTTTACATTCTAAATAAATTCTAGTGCTCAACAAATTAACTCTCCATCAAATTAGCTTCCATAATATAAAACCGACATATTTGGGAGGAAAAAAAAAACTTTGAAAAAGTTTTTACTAACAGATTAAACTTTCCTAGTGTAAAACCAAATTAATGTACAAGAAAAACTTTACGTATTATTATTTGCACCCCATATCGAGTGGCAAGCATACACAACTCACGCTAGCATCCAAATTCCTGTTCCCTATATTGAGAGCATGCACCTTGCAAGTTACAACACCGTATCTAGTACGCTGGTACATTAGACAGGCATATGATAATCCCTACCTGAGAGTGACACTAATCTAAACACATCTACACTTTCAACAATAATTCAAGTTTAGCAAACGGTTTGGAGTAAGAACCCCATCCATATGAACCGTAACCCTTAGCCGCATCACTACTTCTTCCCAGACGCCAAGTTGGATTGAATGGACTGCACGAACCGTATGCAAGACCGCAGCCATAATCAATCTCCTTTGCGCAATCCATCTCAGCCAAAATCTTGTGAAACAAGTCCACATCACATGGAAGCAGAATAGGCCCTTCACTGCTAAAACCATATTCCGATTCAGCATCCTCGAGTAACATCTTGAACAATGGGTGATTGACATATTCAATCTTGATCGCAAATTTTTGCTTCTCTGGCCCGACGTACACCGCAAAACAACCATCTGGAGTTACTTGGCCCTTTGTTTTGCGCTTCTGATCACCTTTGATTGAAGCCCTGGAAGCTGTCGCACAGTTATGTGATTTGCTCTTCGGCAGAACATCAATAGGCATGGCTGAACTATTGGTATGACCATCTCGAGAAAATATTAGAGAACGTATCGTTCTCTTGAGGAATGAATTCTTCTGTTTACTCTTCATGACAAGATCTTTCTTTTTTTTTCTTTTTCCTGCAAGTTTTTCCAAGAAATTTTTGAGGGTTCGGTGCAAGAAAGAAGTACGTACGGTGGAGATGGTACGGTTACAAATGATTTTGGCTGTGGTTGTTTTGGTGGGATTTGAGCTTTCAACCTCTATCATACGCCAAATTGAACATGGATCTCATCCTTGGTCTTGCAGAATTGCTCATATTTAAAACTGATCAAGATGTAACTATGTGGCAAAAAGCAAAGCTTGGATAAAGAAAACTTGCATTGAACTTCTTCTACTATTTGTATCTGTATCAAGAGGTAGCTTTGAAGAACCCAAAGACCATTTATAGAAATAAGGGATAAGAACCAAGAACAAGGGAAGAAGATAAAGCCTCTAGCAAATTGACAAAAGAGAGAGTCGTCTGAAAGCAACTTTTGTAACTGGGACAATTATGCATGGGAGAGGCTGATTGATATACAGCCCCAGACTGAATAAACATTTCTCCACATCCGTACTCAGAGTTAATTTGTCAACGCAGAAATAGCCATCGCCATTTACGGTACAGAAGGATATCAATGTACTAAGACTGCTAATAGGGACAAAAGATGGTCCACCTTCTGTGAATTCAACGCCTGGGGGTAGTGGACAAACAGATGAGATTCGGTTTATTGGAATTGTTGGCATATTTTTCTTGATGTTTTTCTTGTTAAAGTATTGTTCTTGCCTTAACTGGATGCAACATAGGCTCCGTTTGGCAAATGATTTTTATGTGTATCTATCTAAAATTTTATTATAATTTACTATAAAGATTATAGAAAATTTTTTGAAATGTGTAAATTTTTGATATTTTGAAATGTATAATTTAAAATTTTTAAAAAATTTTTAAGATTACTATAGATAAAGTTGTTAAAAAACTTGTAGCAAGTAAATTTGGATAAATACTTATTTGCCAAACATGCCATAGTTTGGTGGACAACAAGAAAGTTAGTACAAGTGTTTACAGAGATTTGATTAGTCCCCCAACAGCAAATGACTAGTGATGTTGGAAATGATAATTCCAACTACTAGTGGGAGTAGCTAGAACAGGGAAATTTCGTGGAAAGTGCGATGATTCCACCCGTGTTTGCAGATGAGTTTATTCAAAATATTATTTAAAATAATTATTATAGTATTTTATAATATAATATATGTGAGTGAAAAGGTAATTGTAAAGATAAAAATGTATGTTGAAAAATATGTTTTTCATGTAAACAAATAATTTTTGTGCAGATATTACCTATCCAAACATGTGAAAATTATTGTAGTTTAATCTCTCTTTTTTTTCAATTTTAATGAGCATGAAAGATTTCATGTGTATTGTAGCCAGAGGCATAAAGCTAACATCTTTCCCAGTAAAAGTTTAAAAATGGTAGATTCTAAAAACGGCACATTTTCTCCAACAATTAAGTATTGGTGGTAATTTAATCAAGACTACAACCACTATTTGGGGGAGAACTAAAAAAAATTATTTGGGAAGGACAACAGAGGTCATGTTTCGAAGCACGACAAAGTTGAGAATTTCAACACAGTTTGCATTGTATTTTTCATGAAAAAATTACTATAGCGATTTAATGTATATGAGGAAAAAAAGTAATAAAAAAATGTGATCGCAGAAAAAACATCAAGGTTTGAATCATAATTCTTTTCATTTTTTAGCATGATTCAAACCTATTACCTGGGAGATTAATGATCAGGTGGCGTCAAATTAACTGTACAGTTCCCTAATCATTTCTTTTTTGAAGTTCATTTTTTTCATATCGTTTATGCCGAATCAACCCAAACTTAATAATAATAATAATAATAAAGATTGATCTTAGTCTGGTGACTACCTGTATAGGCCACCCCTAGCCAAATGCTTAAATAGTATTGACTTTTACACTTGATGAACGTCAGTGATGATTGATGATTTGTAATAATCCATGCGTTGACAATATGGCGTTAAGTCAAATCAAATGTTCTAATTTTGATGTTTGGTCTTGACTTCGTGTTTGATTCATATGTAATCTTAAATTTCGCAAATACAAGTAACCTTAACTTGTTTGAGTGGTAAAATTGACCTGCAATTCTCAAGCACTAAAATTTTTTAGTCATTTCTTTTACTTCTTTTCTCGCAGGCACAACTTGCGGCTGCGACTTTTTATGGCCAACGATGACAATTTTGGCAGCTTATAAATGCAGGTATTTTCAGATATATTCTGATCCTATGCAGGTGCCGTTTTAGCTGTAGTTACATGTTTGGCTACAGTAAAATAGGCGTAGATACATGTTTGGCTATTCTAAGGTGGTCAAAAAATTTTTTTTTTTTTTAAAAATGCCGCATAATTGCTGTGCTTTAGTTTAATGAACTTGCAATAGTTGTTCGATTCGATTAATGATTTTGCCTCCCACTTTGTTTGTGGGCATAAATTCTTGAATCAATATGATTACCCTTGTAGAGTTGTGCTTTTCTTTAATCAAAACCTTTTTTGGGTTTGATTATTTTTGAACTTATCAATCTAGAGTCACCCAACAAAAAAGGGATGTCATATCATAGAGTAATAAAAAAATCCCATATGATTAAGATAGATCTCAAGAGAAGTTTGTGATTTATTTATGTTGTTAACCTTGTAGATTTATTAACCCTTGTAGAGTTGTACTTTTCTTTAATCAAAACTTTTTAGGGTTTGATTATTTTTGAACTTATCAATCTAGAGTCACCCAACAAAAAAGGGACGCCATAGAGTTATAAGCAAAATCCCATATGATCAAGATAACTCTCAAGAGAAGTTTGTGATTTATTTATGTTGTTACCCTTGTAGATTCATGTTTCCTTGTAGAATTTAGGACTGTTAATGGGGTCGAACCAACCCAAACTCGGGTCGTTTGGCTCAAGAAAAAGCAGGATGAGCTCGACCTTTTAATGAGTCAGTCTCAGCTTGAGTCTAAAAATTATGTCTAAATAGAATATGAGTCGAGTTTGGGCCTTATTAGACTCAAACCCAATATAAGTCCGACCCTTAAATTACTTATATATATATATATATATAATGATATATATATATACTATTTATATTTTGATATTATATACAATTATATATTCAATTTTATTATTACTAAGTACTAAATATATACAAATTACAAAACACAAAAATACATTTGAAAACTCTTCTATTAGCTTTCTTAAGAGTCAATATTGGTAATGGATAACAGAAAATTTAACTTTTCTTATTGGTTGAGTAAATTTTTGTATTGACATAATATTGGTTAATTTCTTTTTGGTGTAGAAACACAAATCATCAAACATGTTTTGATTCAAGTCACAAAGTTATGAAGAAATTTCAACCTTTGAAGATGTATTGGCTTATGACTGTATGTTTTATTACTATTTTTTATGTATTTTGAACGAATTAGATATAAATATTGCTGAAAAATTCTTGGTTTATGTACTTTTTAAGACTTATTACTTGTTCATGTTTAGTTTTAACATTATAGTCCTATAACTGTTAAATTAGTTTTACAACTCAATAGTTGTAGTAATTATATTAAGAAAATTGATGAGCAATAAGTAAGATTGGGTTAAGTCCTAATAAGGTTCAAAACTCAGATATTTTGTGAGTTAAATATGATTATTATATTTACTAATCAAAAACTCACAGCCCAAAATCCAAAAGTGTTACAAATTGAATGAACTCAACCTGACCTTATGAAAGTCCAACTCATATGACCCAATTGGCAGGCCTAGTAGAGTTGTGCTTTTCTTTAATCAAAACTTTTTTCCAAGTTTGATTATTTTTGAACTTGTTAATCTAGAGTCGCATAACAAAAAAGGATGCAATAGAGTTATTAGAAAATCCCATATGATCTCAAGAGAAGTTTGTGATTTATTTATGTTGTTAACATTGCAGTTTACGTGTGTTTGTATATATATACACTCTCTCCGATATAGACACACTCCATTATGAAAATGATTATCAGCAAATTCACGCTTAATCCCAACTATATTTATTGCATAATGATTTGACCAAAATTGACGCGGGCACAACCCTGTTTAGTTGTCGAGGGACACGTTTCAGTGTCACTTTTTTTTTTTTTTTGGGTCAAAACGTTTCAGTGTCGCTTAGGTTTTCTTTTTCTTCTTATTCTTTTTTACTCTTTTTTTTTTCCTTCTTTTTTTTTTTTTTTTGTTAGCATTGTCAGGCTACAGCACAACCACCATACTGGACACCATCACTGTATTTTCAAAAACAGCTTAGCAGATGGGGTGCCACAGTGACCAGTCTATTTAATATAGAGCTGATAGTGTATTCCTAAAATTCGAGAGGATTCCTGCAGATTTTCACTTATTTTTTCTCTAGCTAGGGAGGGGTGAAATTTAAAAAATACGAAAGTGACAATGGATTAGAACCTAAACCCTTTTTATGTTCTAGAGATTTTCACTTATCAAAATAAGATTTCTTCTATTATAAAATCACTAATCGAAATGTTGAGTGCATTTTGCTTCTTTGACTCTTAAAACCTTACTCCCTCAAATGGCTACTTAGCTAACAATTTGGACTTTTCAACAAGTACTCATCTAAGTTCAAAATAATTTTTAGGACAAGCACAGGCAAAAGGATTTCTGATTTAATCTTCCTGAATCTTATTGTAATCAAGATTCTCTTGTAGTCATTAACAAGTGTCGTACCAGTGCTTTTGGTGGTTAGATGGTTTTCAAACCAAATTATTAGTTAAGCCTTCCCCATTGGTATAGTTGGTCTTGAGCTAAGATTAGACACAGCCTTGATGTCCATTCTGCTGATTCCTCGATAATAAATCAAAAACAAGTTTACGTATTGGAATTCCATTGATCGAGGACCAAAACAGATTAAGATACCACGTTGGATTGGCTAGATGAATTGTATATCTGATAATAACACCCTCTTTTATCCTGAATTAGTAGGTTGTAGTGCTAAGTTCATGAACCTTCAACATTTAGTAAACGATCTTGCCAAGAATAACGGCCCTTCCAGGGCAGTTCGTTTAGTCACGAAACTTCCTAAGCGATCGTTGTCCATCTCTCCTATCAGGAATCAAATCCCAGGGTTAACGTGCTCGAGGGGACGAGGTCTCTCCTCTCGGACCGGAAGGGTTTAGTCGAATTCGATTTATTCGGTGACCCGGATACCCCTCTGTCTAGAAAAAAAAAAAAAAAAATCTTGCCAAGAATAACGCCACTTGCTTGCCAAAAGCAGGCCTCAACGTTATTCGAAAGACACGGTGAATGAGAACATATACAATAGATATCTATCTAGTTGTGCAGGATTGTACTTTAAACAATTATGTGGACCTGATTTATGGGCTTACATGTAAGTTATACGATATAC